GAGTGGATTTTTTGTCGTGGTATGGGACGTCGCAGGTCGACCCAGCCTAAAATAGGTACCAGGATGGGCTGTCCTGGGAAAGTTAAGACAGCCGGCGTAATGCTGACCACATTACCCACAGAGTGCTGATGGTCTGTAAAAATATGGGACGCTCTGCCCATATGCCCGATGCGCCGAAAGGCGTGAAAAGTGGATCTTTACTTTACTTATATGAAGGCATACATGTACCATCCAAGATTGTGTGTATGTGGTTTTTTTTTTTTTCATATTATGTGTAGTGTTATATGAACATATATGCTTTATGTATAAAATAAAATTTGCTGTGTCAAAAATGATCGTTTGGAAGGCCCGCATGTAAGAAAAACATCTGGCAATGTGGATGCAGATTCTCATTCAGGTACACCCCAACTTAAAAAAAAAAAAAAACAGCCCTAATCAGTTGATCATACGCCATGCTTGTTATGTGGCAGTGGGTCAATTCTTTGCTGTTCAAAAGAGAGACCCATAATCCACATTGAAATGATTTTCATCCGAAATGACTTTCAGTTACTGGGAGTAAATATTTCAGTCTGTAATCCTGGTAAGAAAAAAAGGGGTACTATAATTTTGTTTCACCCCATCTCAGGCAATGGGTTCCCAAGGAAAACCCAGCATCATGGGGGGGGGGGGGGTGGTCGGTGATAATTTCACACCCTAACACCCCTATACTAGTGGACTTTACCGGCGAACTCTTTGATTCCCAGAGGTGGGATGAAAAGATTGGGAGGGGTGGGGTGGGTGTGTGTTTGAGGGGGAAATCCATTAGCAGTGTGGGCAACGAAAGTTTCCAACGGAATTTACCACCGTAAAAATTTCTCACTTCCTTCATAGCAATCAGCTTTTGAAAATTAAAAAAAAAAAAAGCCATAGCCATAATTTTCTGTTGTGTTTTTAATCCGGGGAAAGATTAACCGGTTTAAACCCAGGTGGGAAGTGGGAGCAACCGGGCGCGGTGCATGACGGTCTCAAGTTGCAAGGTCTTACAGTAATAAGGCGGTGCCCGCTGAAACAATGGTACATTAAATAAAGGTCCGCATACCAGAACGTTAGTTGCTGTTCAAACAACAGATGGCAGGTGCACCTGACCTGTTAAGTACACGACACCGGAGCAGGGCTGCCAATGGGACTTTTTTTTTTTTTTGAAAAACCCAGCTTCGCTAAACAAAAACCCAAGCAATACATAGACTAAGAACAAAAAACAACAAAAAAAACAAGACTGTTAAATTGTACACAATTTATATTTACGAAACTAAACATTTACCACTTTTATATAAGGATATATTTTAAAAAACACCAGATTACCCCCAGGCGTCAAATAAAAACCCTGATCTGGAGGGAAAAACCCAGCATTAAGAGCCCTGCACCGGAGGGTAAGGTGGGGGGAGAGGATGCAAGGGTCCTATCACTGTGCTGTCAATGGGCCTTTGTTGAGAACTGATTGGGCGAAATAGCTAATTGTGTACTGAGCCTGTGCAGCCAGGTTTAAGATACGGTACTAACAAACTACAAACATTCATTAACTGCTGCCTACGCAAAATAGGGGGAATTATTCTTCTTATTCTTTTTCGCGATCACCGGCTGTAGATTCCAGCGAAAAGTTATGGTTGTTTGTCCACTTCTGGACTCCAGTCCTATTCCATAATAGGAGTGTTGGGTGCACATCCGTCGAAGTCGGAGTGCATCTGCCTAAGAGGCAAGGAACCAACAGTCTGCATACAGATCTGTCAAACGGATGCACGAGCATTACCTAGGTTCTGAAACAGGACTGCAGTCCAGAAGTGTACGGAACAATCAGAACTGTCCCCCGGAGTTTACGCGAAGAAGAAGTACTTTGGTATGGAGCGGAAACACGGAGAACTACTTCAGCAATTACTAAAAAAAAAAAAAAACACACACAAGAAAGGCTATTCAATAACTGTTGTTGTCTGTGCAGAACAGAGGGAATTAAATGGTATGATAGAATAACTAATGTGGAGCGTTTGGGAGAGAACAAACCAGCTCCAGTGGACCAGGAGGTTAACAACATACGCTGGCGTTGAATAGGACACACGATGAGAAAACCTGAGAACAATATAACTAGAATGTCTTTGCCCAGAAACCCACAGGGGCATAGAAATAAAGGAAGACCAAAGAACACACGGAGAAGGAAGTTAGAGCGTGAAGTTAAAAAGATGGGGAGGACATGGGGAAAGCTGCATGCGACAGTCAAGGAGAGAACGACTTGGCTTAAACTGGTTGAGGGCCGATGCTCTAATGAGGGGTTAGAAGGCCTCCTACGACATGCTTTTTAGGAGAAAGTGTGTCTACCCCCCCCCCCCCACGCGGAGAGCGCTAATCAATGCTTTTTTCAGGGCGAACGCATCATAAGTTCGAAGTAACTAAGCGCAATGCACGGGCTCCGTAGCACCGGCGAGAATCCTTAAATATTTTTGGGATTTTAAAACTCCAAAATTTGCCCGGGTAGGCTACTCATCAAAATGCCTAGGGATTTTTGACATGCGCAACAATACACACGGGCGTCCGATCTCACTACTACCCAGAGACCAGGGAAAATTACTAGAGGTCTACGTCAACAAATCCCGGGGCCCGAACCCAGGACCTCTAGCACACGAGGCGGACACCATAACTCGAGACCATGCAGCCCCCAGCACCCCTTAAGTCGTAAGATTGTAAGATTAGCATCTTGAGGATGAGAACCAAACAGGTACAATTCCCCAAAACTTAGTTTAACCGTATAGATATATCATACTGTTTTACTGGCTCACCACGAAACGGTTAAGAAGTAACCTAGTGTTATCTGTCGCCACAGGGAGCGAACCCACGACCTTCCGATCCACACGCGAGCGTCTAGCCGCTACGCCACGGCGACTCCCTTTGTCCCATGTCGAATGAAGATAATCTTTTGACTAAACTGCCTGTAGTCTAATGAGTGACTTTCAACCGCACAAGACCTCACAACTAGCGATCCCCCGTGTGGGTTCCGGGGCCCTATTGTGGGGAAAACAAGAATAGACCCACTGCCTCCCCAAAAGCGTGTCGTAAGAGTCGACTAACTGGGGAGCTTCCTTGGAAGTCTGAGTGCATCTGCCGGAGAGGCAAGGAACCAACAGTCTGTATTCAAGAGAATGAGATCTGTAAAACTGATGCACACGCAACACTCAGGTTCTGGAGCAGGACTGCAGTTCAGTAGTGGACGAGCAACCAGAACTTTCCGCCAGTGTACAGCTGGTGAACGCGAAGAAGAAGACAACCAGCCACCAACACCCGGTGAAACAAAGTGCCACCAATCGGATGAGGATCACCTGGGCACAAGTCCCAGAAACCCACCCCGTTTAACCGTGAGGTTATATCAGGGCCCTAGTGTGGGTGGGTGGGTTTACTTTTGACAGTATGTGGCAACACACAGCTGTTGTCTGCGCCTGTCAACTGGGTACTTACAGCCCACGTGGTCACTCCAAATTTAAATAAACACACTTGTCTTGCGCCGTGCCCACCTGGAGCCCCTGTCTTTATGTAAATAAGGCACAGGTGTGGTATACAGCTGAACTATGTAATCTAACCGACGGCTAGGACACATGACGTAATCCCACGTGAAACGTGGATTATACACTCGCGCCGCCGCGCACACACAGACGCACTTGACAATGTCATTTGTTTTGATGATTACAAGGAGGACACACGCAGGGGAGGTGGGGCGTGGGGGGGGGGGGTAAATATAGGTTAGGTACCCTAAAGACCTGGCAGAGAATACGAGCACACGGCCTATTTGCATTTCTCAGACACTTGGAAATCTGCCATTGGTGATCCACTTGGCAGGTGGTTATTGTATTGTATACGGTGTCTCATAAGTTCCAATACACATATCACCAACGCCATTGTCAGCATAACTTCAGCTGTGCTTATATCTGTTTCTCGGCAGAGAAGGATAGTCATAGACATGTTTTAGTAAGCGACGTTAATGGGTAAGAGGGAGGGGAGGAGAGGAGGAAATTATTGTTAAAAGTTATAAAGCCGAGAGAAAACAACTTCACTTCTTCTTCTCTCCCACCTTTTACCTCATCGAAGTGTCGGGGGGAGATGTAATGTTCGTTGATGAGCTCTGTCAAGAGCACTATTAAGACTGATGTTCATTTCTGTAAGGCTGTTTGTTCTTAATGCCATCACTCCATATTGTCCGAGGTCTTCCACTCGCTCTTTACCCGTTGCACGTTTTAGTGTGGCTCGCTGTGGCAGATAGTACCAGGGCATTCTTGTTAGGTGTCCAAACCACTTCATTTTTTGTACTTTAAAGACCTGTAAGACTGGCTTTATTCCTAGCATTCGTCTGATTTCATGATTTCGTATATGGCTCCGTCTCTCTCTCTCTCTGCAGAATGTCTAGCTGCCTGCCGAGAGCGCCGCACAGAGCACGAATTCCTTAGCTCCGGCAACGATCCGCAGAAATTTCCATAAAACTGCATTCGTAAACTAAACCCCCTGAAATCCCCCCTAAATCATTGTGCTGCCGATAAGCCTTTGTTTTCAAGTGATTAGGCGAAATAGCAGATTATGTATTGGGTTGTCTGACTGAATGTTTGCAGCGAGGCCTGAGACATTGTACTTACAGGATACACACAGGTACTTTAATTTAAAGTTTGTGGGTTCTCACGACACGATTTTTGGGGAGGCAGTGGGTCTGTTCTTGTTTTCCCCCACAATGGGACCCCGGAGCCCACATGTGCATACCATGGACACACAACACAAATTCCCAAGTAGTTCAAAAAACATTAGGTTACTTTCCCTTTTGTTTACCCCAAAAAGGGTTAGTGTTAGTCAAGAGTTAACTTCACATATAACAATCCTATACTATTTTACTTTCCCGTGAACTCCTCAAAAAATCTTGGAATCCCCAAGATGTGGTGAATTAAAGGGAAAAAGCCTCTAGAATTTTAACACAATCTTACCTTGGGGGAAAATCAGATTCACTTTGAAGGAGGTCTTATGTCACAATCTGCCATTAGCAATAAAGATTCGTCGGAATATGATGTCACAGGGGATGATGGGATCTGTAGAGAAAAGAGCATTACATTTCACTGTTAATGAACGTGATGTAACTTTCATCCACTCTGTAACAAATCTTAACACACAATCGGTATATTTCTTCTTCTTCGGGCCCATTTGCGGTAAACTCTCTAGTGTTCAAGAACTTAAGTTTTAATTGCACATCCGTTTAAGAAATCTGACTTATTTGTGTGCAGGTTTGGTGCCAAGCAATTAACCATGCATTTCATGGTGGCACCAAAAACAATATGCTGTATCTATTTATTTGTAAGTTTACCCTATTCTGTCTCATAATTATCTTGTGTAACTCCTTCACACCTAAACGGTTAGTACGTTCAACTACGACGTCTAAGAATATAAAGTAACAACTGTTTGGGACTGGCGGAGTTAAATATCAACGAATTTATCAAAAACTAATGCAACATCTTTTGCACAAGAAAAAATCTTTCAGATAAGAATACTCTGTGTGTGGGTTCCGGGTCCCATTGTGGGATAAACAAGATTAAACCCACTGCGTCCCCAACAAGCATGTCGTAGGGGACGACTAAATGGGGGAATCCTTTGAAGTCCGAATGCATCTGTCCCAGCGGAAAGGAACAACCAAGTGACAAATAAGTGTCAAACGGAAAACTCAGGGCCTGGCACAAAGCCCAGATGGACGAACAACCAGGACTTTCGACCGGAGCTTACAGCCGGTGAGCAAAGGAGAAGAAGAAGATTACAAGATATCACGAACAAGAATAACAACAGTCCCCAAACTCACCTGTGTTGTTGGAACGATGTTTTCTAACGATTTTTCTGACAAGGGTTCTCGAGATGTTTGCTCGGCGACATACTTTGCCTGAAACGAGGCGGCAAACGATGATCCCGATGAAAAAGGAGTCTGGCTGTCTAACTGAAGCTCTAGGTCTAAAATGTAGTCGATAACATACTGCATGAGAACCGTTCCGTCGATGTTGCCTTCTTCATTCCGTGGCACGTCGGGAACCATGTCGCTGAGCTTTAAAAAGCATTCCTAAAGACACGAAAAAATAAATTATTATTTCTCAAGATACATCGACAAAGACTTTTAGCTCTAGAGAATTATAAGGACAGTTTAAATAAACAGAAGAAAACGAAAACAAATGTATATGCACGCTAATAATATTACTTTAAATATTACCAAATATACATGACATAATTTTATTATCATATGGGTACTTTTATTTTTAATTCACCCCAAACAAAGGAAATACCGGAGTTTCTGGGACAGTCTAATATTCTGGGTGTTATGGGTTTAAGCTCTTTGTCAGCCCCGATCGCCCCAGAGATAACAACTAACCCTAACCCCAACCCATAACCCCCCTAGAATATTGCACTCTCCTGGTAATTCAGAGACTTCCTTTGTTTGGGGTGAATTAAAAATAAAGTGCCACCATGTTTTCTCAAAACATAAAAAAAAAATGATGGATCTAGGTCCCTAGCCATATGCTTCAATACGCGTCAGGTGTGTAGATGATCCATTACTTTATTGTGAGGTTAATACTACGGCACTATTCGATCTCGGAAGAGGATTCCTTACTTTATTGTACGTCCAATATTGGATCTTGGAGACGGCTTTATTACTTTACTGTGAGGATTCTTTACTTTATTGTGAGATTTACACTACCAATATTCGATCCTGGAAAAGGATTCCTTACTTTATTGTGAGGTCAATACTTCCAATATTCTATTTTAGAAGAGGATTCCTTACTTTATTGTGAGATTTACTTCCAATATTCTACCAATATTCGATCAATACTGGAAATTTCTATTTTAGAAGAGGATCCCTTACTTTATTTTGTGAGGTCAATACTTCCAATATTCTATTTTAGAAAAGGATTCTTTACTTTATTTTGTGATGTCAATACTTCCAATATTTGATCTGGAAAAAGGATTCCTGGTTTTGAATACTCAAAGTTCTTTCTATGTCATTGTTTTCATGTTTAATTATTTTGCGTTTGTGTTTTATTTTATTGTCTCCATTGCGATTAACGGCTGTAAACTTTGCGGAATGTTAAGATTGTTCGTTCACTCGTGAACTTTTATTTAAGTCTCCAGAACTTGAGTTTTGTGTGCATATCCGTTTTACATTATAGCTTTTTTGGTATGCAGACTGTTGTTTCCTCATCTCTCAGGCCGATGCATTCCGACTTCAAAGGAAGCACCCCTAATTAGAAGACCTTTACGACATGCTTGTTTGGGGGGGGGGGGGGGGGGAGGCCCTGGTATTCTTTGCCCCCACAATGAGGCTCTGGAACCCACCAGGAACTTTTATTTTATGACAAGGATGTTCAGCAAGGGGAAAGAAAAAGTCGTTCTCAAATACTACAGAACTAATTGACCAATATCTTTATCAACGAAGAAAGATAATCTTGCGCCACAACCCCAGGAGAATCACATAGGAAAAGATCCTGTCAATTCCATTCTTTTCATTTTCTACGTGAAATGACAAGATGTGAATTCTTGTAACATGATTCCGGCTTCACGTTGATTCTAGAAGCACTTTCTGTCCCTACTCTTCGATGAAAGCTCTTTGCCAGTTGGCGCTGAAGAGGTATTGATTTGTTGGGTGGTCTCTTGGGCTGGCCAACTTCGTGACGAGCTTGACTTCAGTGCTACACGCTTGATGGATTACTGTTGCAATACTGCACGCTTGATAGATTACTGCGACAATACTATAATCTTCGGTACTGAACGCTATGCAGATTACTGTTACAATGCTGCGATCTTTATTACTTTACGACTGATATATTAAGTTACAATGCTGCAATCTTTAGTACTTTACGCCTGATATATTATTGTTACAATGCTGCAATCTTTATTACTTTACGCTTGATAGATTACTGTTAGAATATACTACAAGTTTTAGCCGGGGGGGGGGGGGGGGTAAATCCGTGGCAAAAGTGGTCACCGTATGCCTCGCGCTCTGAAAGTCGTGGATTCGTTCCACGGCTACATCCTTCCGTTCATAAGTGCACATTTTACGGAGATCATCAGAGATCGTCGTCGGAGCTACGGAGTTCGTACTCTGCACGGCGCTCTCGGCAGGCGGCTAGCCAGTAGATCCTCTCGACGTTCTACTTTTAACTTTTTCGAAAATACAAAGTACAGCCATGAACAGTGTGGTAAGCTATAAGCATAAATACATTTCTTTACTACTGAATCATTCATCATTATGTGCCATGTGAGTTGGCGTAGGCGGTCATGCATCCACAGATCACAATCCCTGGTTGAATGGATCAGCTCTCTTAATGATATCCCTCACTGCCATCGTTTCAGCCCATACAGCATCCTCTCTCTTGGTCTGCCTTTACCCTTTTTTCCACTGATCTTTCCAGTTGTCACGATAATTTCCAATGTCTCTCTTCTCATTATGTGGCCAAAGAGCAGTGTTTGTCTCTTTCTTATTGTAGTATATAGAGGTCTACTTTCATTAGCTTCTTTTAAACAATCGCTGTTAGTTACTTTGGAGGTCCAAGGTATTCGTAACATTCGTCTCAGAAACCAAAAATATGCATATATGTAACATTGTTGGTGCTTTTCATTTTCTGAAATGCTGCTCCCGCTTCACCTACTGCTAAATCATAGTGGAAAATGCGGATAAAGCCATGGTTGTAGCAATTAGTCCAAGAGAGGGGGAAAATCGATATCTGAAGCCGTGTTAGGACTGGAAACATCGCTCTAGGGAGTTGGCAACGGTGGCGATAAATGAATTGAAAGGCCGCATCGGCACGCCACACCATCTGACAAATGTGGGTGTGTCTTACCCTATGAAGTAAATGCATCGGCATGGCGATATGTATGTCAGCATCACCTATCGCGCGCCAAGTCTACAAAAGTATTGATCCAGCCGTACTGGTGCGTTGTGCCGATGACCTAAGGTCCAATTCTTAGTGATTACCACATATTCAATAAGTAGTATAGTGCAGGCCTCTCAAGGCAATTTCGGGTGTGGAGAATTTCTGTTGTGAAGAACATTTTTTTTTAAATCTCCGGCAATGGGTTTGGACTCAACTCTTAACCGGATGAGAGGAATTTCTCATTTGAAAAATAATTTCTTGGGTCCCCGGTGAGTTCTTATCAGGTCTGCACTGTACATACTGACTGTGTACTGTACAATGTGTATTGCTGCAATTGGTCAGTCGTAATTTGACTTTATCTACTCTACTATGCTAGTTTGGTCTGATTTTGTTTTAAAATCTAATTTCAAATGTTCCGTTGCTAAGAATTTTAATGTTCTGTTTTTCTGTCCATGCTACATAGGTTAAGTGTTATTTTGCTTCTGTTTCACCCGTTGTAAACTCTAGTGGAAAGTTTTGGTTGTTCGTCCACTTCTACATTTGAGTCCTGTTTCACAACCTGAGTGCTGCATACACATCCGTTTCACAAATCTAGCTTATGTAAATACTGAATGCAGACTCTTGGTTCCTTGCCTCTCAGGCAGATGCACCCCCACTTCGAAGGAAGACACCAGCTAGTCGACTCTTGACATGCTTGTCTCAGGCAATGGGTGCATTCTTGTTTTCCCTACAATAGGACCCCAGAACCCACACGAGGAGATTTGTATTGAAACCCAAGTGTAACTCATGTTTGCTATAAATAGAAGTCGACCCCCCTCCCCTTCCCGTCCGTTCTGAGGTCCCATTGTGGATGTAAACAGTTTACATATGATAAAACATCAATTGTGATAAGTTCATGAAAATTGCATTTAGATGTGCATTTCGCTCACTGTTGATGTGAAATATGTTAAATCGTCATTAAGAACATTACAACTGTGTACTTGAAAACAAAAAAGAATAAAAAGAACAACAAATATATGTTAAATATATGTCACTTTTACAGGAATACCAACATACAACCACAGGGCTGGCTGAAGATTTTATGAGGCCCTGAGAGCTGTAACGCACTGAGGTCTCTACTGTTGTAAATTACAATAGTTAATCTCTGTATTCTTTAATATTTTTTTTCAACTGATGTGTAACTTTTAGTTAAAGAAATAATTAAGAATGTGCCTGCAAAATCACATAAATTCTTTTACATACTCCTTTTGAAGGCTCTATTAGAAGAACATTGCATTTGGGAACAAATAGGAATTTGTTGAGGCCACTGTAGATTGCGACGCCCCAAGCTGCAGCTTAGTTTATGCCCAAATCCTGCACTGTGCAATCACTGCTACATGTAGATATAAACTATGTTGGGACAGCCATTAGGACACAACTAAAAGCAACTAGGTGCCGATGTGAAAGATGTCCGACCAGAATTAACTCCCTTCAGCATCATGTCGATGTAAAATATGTAACAGAGAACAGCTAGAATAACTATCATACATGTGTTACACAAGAAGTTACTGTTTACTTACTTTCATCTCATCACTGATGCTGAACTTCTCCCCGTGGAAATCTATACTTGCGGTCTTCATGATGCTGCAGTTAGCATCCTTCTTGACGCCTAGAATGCTGCAGGATCGGGGCCTCTCCGCCGTGACAACTGCCTTCATGGTGCCTACTGCAGTGGATGCGAGCTATCGATTGATCTGTGCTGGCTGGCGAGTGTACGCCGGAACACAAGCAGTGATGCCAGATGACGAAGGATGTATCGATCAGGAATTTCAGCACTGGCGTTGCCGAGTGACAGTTTACTAATGCAGGCAACAGCAATTTGCGATCGATTTATATCTAATGTAGCGAATCCACTGAAAATTTAAATTACACAAACTAGCTAAAAGTAAATCCAAGAATGTATCACAGTATTAGAATGAATGAGGTGCAGAAGAACTTTCCAGTGTGGTTTCAGTTCAGCGTTTACTAGATCGTTTGGCAGCTGTACATCAAACTCCCAACAGCAACGATGTCATCAACTAGCACTGGGAAAGTTCAGGCTATCACTTTATTTACTAATGTCTGAAACATTCCCACACGTGTCTCCCCTGTTGATAGACTCCTCCCTCCACGCCAAGTACACTCCAGGCGAGACGGCCAACAGCGCCCTATCAAATCCCCGAACGTTAAACGTCAATTATCCAAGCTCCTCCTCCTGTGTCACGTTTGTATCAAGTTTATCAGCGTTTTCCCCCATATGTTTATTATTAAACAGCCCTGTAGACTATTCATAGGGCAATACAATGCCTACTTATTTACGTATTTCAAAGTGTTATTCCCATGGAAAGATCAGCAGCCCCCGATGGAAGCTTTGTTTGACTTTCTTTTCTTTCAGCTTCATTCAGCCTATTACACATCTACTGTGCACCTGTGTTTAGCAGGCCTTTTGCTCCCTGCGCGAGACCCGCTTTGCCACGTGTTAAATTGCGCTGGGGGAATCTTGGCCTAAACAGTTAGCCCAGACAGACTGGCGCCGCCAGTGTGACGTCAGGTACACGTTGAGGTATATTTTTGGCTGCCCTGGCGCCGACCAGACGGTCCCACACTACAGGCTGGCTGTCAATCAGTCGCTACATCAAAAGGGCTACCTTAACAGAGCTGATAAATTACATTAAAATTCGTCACCTTCGACTTCTGTGTGTTCTCTTACCTGAGACACATCTGCAGATTTGCATACACCGCAAAAGCGAGTGTCTCGGTGTTTGCTTACCATTTCCCGTGGGCGCCATCGGGGCTACTGTCCTATTGTCCACTTCTTAAGAGCAGGTCTGGGCTTTTGAGGACCAACTTTGGAGACTGGAGAAATTTATGGTTGACGTCGAAGCATGTAGGAATTTCTATTCGGTTTGTTACAGTTCGCCTTCTTCCTGCCTCTCTCATTCAGAAAATAATGTAAATATTGCCCTGTATCTAGCTCTCTCTAGCATTTCCAAAATCGTTTACTACGAGGCATATGCAATTCAAGAGCTGCTGTGCGCTCGCCTGGCCTGTCGACTAGACGGTCTTAAGTTCGATCCTGCGTCAGCCGGATTTAGGGGTGGGGTGGGGAGACAACGACTTGGGTTACCAGGTCGCCACAGGCTACAATGGGTGCAAGAAAATGTAATGGGAAGTAAAGGTGGCTGGCGTGATGCTGACCACATTATCAATTGAGAGCTGATCATTCTATAAAATGTGAGTAAAACATTATGTGCCTGATGCGTCAGTGGCACAGAAAAGGTTTCCGTTATTTGCTGGTTGCTATTCCGAAGTCGTGTCTGGGTTTGAATTGCATCTATAGCCAGGGGTTGTTGCTGGAACTACGGAGCTTCGTGCTTCATGTAACGTTTTCCACGCTGGGCCAGCATCTGTATGGAGAGAGACCGCCCCATCAGGGGTAAAGTGGGAAGTACAGCTGGTTCTCTCGCCTTAGACTAGTTCGCTAACAATTATCTTGTCATGCATCTATTTGTAACGATCGTGTGTGTGTGTACACGCGTGCGTGTGTGTGCGCACGCGCATGTGTGCCTTTTTAAACTTTTGCTTCAGCTGCTTACTCTAGTTCAGAGGTTTTTTAAACTGGGTGCCGCGAACGTATACCAGGGGAGCCGCACCAATTATCAAGAACTTTTCAAAATCTGCTTGAGATCAACGAAGACAGCAGTTTAAAACACAAATACCATAAATAAAGTCAAGAAGAGTTCTGGATGCAGGTGTGTTCAGAAAACAATGCTATTGGCAAGGCTGAAGTGCATTCTTAACTTACGCTCACATTCAAAAACAGATACAGGAGCAACCTTCGAGTGACTTAAGGGAACAGTTAACTAAACTTCCTAGCCCGGCTCACTAGCGTAGTTGACTTGACTTAAGATACGTGATCTAACTTTGTCTAACTAGTATCCTTATACGTCAAGCATGATCATGGAAGACAACTGCCGTCTCCAGAGCTCTCAAATGGACAGCAGAATAAGCAGCCACACATTCGATGATCACATCAGGCTCTATAAACATGCTTCAGAAAATCGTCACAGGCAGCTTCCGCTCTCAATGGGCAGAAAGCGTTCGGAGGTCAAGCTTCAACTTGCTCACCTGGCCATGTGAAAATTCAAGCAAAATTCCCTGTTCAATCCCAATATCCCCCCCCCCCCCCCCCCCCCCCACCCCAACAGACAGTCTAATATTTCAGGAGGTGGTAGATAGGCTGCATGCAGTCGTAGGACCTAGGCTGAGTTCTCTCTTTTGACGTAGGCGTATTGGGGTTAGGCCCACTTCTAGATATTTTGGGGTAGTTTAAGAGGATCCAAAAGCCGGAAAACCCGCTCTTACCACCCACTAATATATTGGACTGTCCTGTGACGTCATCCTTGGGGCTGGGGGAGGATATTGGGAAAGCACCGAAGTCCTCTCACTGTCTCTTTCGACAACTAGTGACAAACAATCATTCTTGGCAAAATCCAGAGCCTGCCTGTGTAGTAAATAAAGGTAAAGTACAAAATCGAGAGATGTGAACCAGCGTCATTGCACATGGTTATAAACCATAGGTGCTCTGCCACCAGTACAGACAGCTGATAGGAAATTATCTGCCTGTGTTGTCGCCCGCACGTAACTCCGTAGCTACAGCGATGTTCCTATATTTACCCCAGAGTGTCAACGCTGGTACCCATTTCCTTTAGGCTGGGTGAGCCCCAGAAACGGCCCGGTTTCGATCACCGGTCATGGGCTGCAGCGAGTCGCAGCTGCATTTGAAAGTGAGTCTCCTATCGACTGCGCTAACGCCGCCCCACACACACACACACACATATATATATATATATGTGTGTGTGTAGTAAATGCATAAGGCTGCCGCAAGAGGTGCTAACACAAATAGATGTCAGTCATGACAAATTGTATTGCTTACGGTACATCGCGAGCTCAAACACACACTAAAAGGTACATCTTTTTCTTCGCACGTTAGGTATCTTGAAGAAGCCGTAGGACCTCCAAAATTCAAACTTCCTGCGTCTAATGACTTGCTGTCAGGCCCAGCATTGAATAATATGCAAAGGGAACTGTCTTGCGGGCTTCTTTCTCTGTATCTTTGTCGTCTCTCTGTTTTCCCCTTTCTCTTTCCTTCATTTGTACTCCAACTTCAAAGGAAACGTCGAAAGTAGCCAACTTATCCACACTTACGACATGCTTGTGGGAGGCAGTGGGGCTATTCTTGTTTTCCCACTGAAACCCACATAAGGATACTCTACTACTACTCCAATATATATATATATATATAATATATATATATATATAGTATATATTTAAATATATATATATATACGTACAATGCCAATGGAAAAAAAAAAACTGAAGCCTATAATGTTTTAGGTACTACAAGTTTAGACGACCCCAAATAAAGGGAAACCGGGAATTCCCCCTTTAGTCCACTATTCTAAGGGTGTTTTGTGTTGGTGCACACGTACACCTTCCCGCACTTTCAGTGAACAACGAACGAAGTCATGCCATAACACCCCTAGAACAGTGAACTAGAAAGGGCATTCCGAGATTCCCCTTGTTTGGGGTTGTCTAAAATTATAGTACCTAATCTTATATTACCGGAAACTCACATACAAATAAATTTCTGCACACAAAAATGCCAGCCCTTACTTTGAAAACAAATATATGAGTTTTCGACAAATGAAAGAGACATGTAATATAACGTTGCAACTAAATCCTTCTTCGAGAAACAAAATACAACACTAACTACTGTACCACCATAACGTCTTTTAACCAGGTTTACACAGGAAAAGAAAATATGCATTCTTTGTTTATCATAAATAGTTATTACATCCTAAGGTTACAAGTAGCGGGAAGGAAGAAGGGACAGACAGGATACTCTGAAAAACAGACCCGCGTTTGTTAATACTTTTTTAAACGTGAATTTAGCTAGAGTTTCCTTATCAAGAGAGGCTTTTTTCTAATAGTTTTGAAGACGAGGCCGTGCGTATGTCTGCAACTTTATCAAAGTTGAGGCTTGTTTAGGCATCCTCTTGGAGGCGCCCGACAGGCCGACTCTCGCCGTTTCCTCGTGCTTAGGCTTGTTCAGATTTCACAATCGGGTGATAACTTCTCACCTGAGAAAACAAGATCCCCAGGGTGAATCCAAAGTTTCGGATAGTGGAAAATGGCGAGATAAATAAATGCTTTTCCTACTTGGCGGGTAGCTTTCGGATAGACTTCTCGACGCCATAGCGCACGTGCGTTGACGTTGGAATTGCGTCGGGTTGCCCCTGTTAGTTTAGAGGGTCAGAGTTCAAGATGACTTCTGCCAGACTCAAAGTATTTTTCAAGGAAATGGATTGCGCGTATCACTTTTCGTTTGTCGTTGTTCACTCCTGGATGTGTTTTTGGAGGCGGGTTTTTGTGAAGAAAAAAAGGGTGGGGTGGGGGGGGGGGGGAGAGAAGGGGCTGTGGGTTAATTTCTTTTCCTAACTGAAGAAAAAGAAAGGTGGGGGGAGCTGGGGGGGAGGTTTGTGGGTTAATTTCCTTTCCTAACAGTTAAAGGTTTGAGTTTTATTTTGCTGACATGCTCTCCCCCGTTGTCTGCTTACTTTTAATATTTTAATTCTTTCTTTAGGTTCATGTTATCTGTTGCTTGTATCTTCTTCTT